TGTTTTTGATGTGAGTAGGAAATACCTTGTGTTGTCTGCATTTCAGCAAAAAGGTTCTCTGGTTGATAGCCGATGCGAGTTTCTTCTCATTGTTGGCTATGTCCTTCAGGATACTTTTAGCTGCGTGTCATGTACATGAAATTTGTTCATAGAATCCCATTTCTTCGTTCTTCTCGTGTAGAAATGTGTGGTGATTAGTGACCGTTAATCGATAATTAGAAGATGATCTCAATTAAGATCGAAACGTTGGCACGATAAAGAAAATGTTTTTCTGAAACCTACATCACCCCAGACCGCATCTCATGATTTCTGAATAATTATCGATTAACGGTCACTAATCACCACACATTAATTAATTGAAAAAAGTAATTTGGTCAACATGTCTCGAAATATATAGATATAATAGATTTTATTTTTTACAATGGTGTGAAATCTAAAAACGAAGAAATGATTATTACAAAATATTGTTTTTCTTTATCTTCAACATAGCTAAAACCCCTTTCGCAATCCATGTGTATTTCTTAAAATAAAAAATAAAAACATTTTAAAAAATTGTATTTTAGATGATGAGTTAGTAAGATAAATTTTAGCAAGCAATTCATTTGTTGCAATTGTAGTAATTCCAAAAACCGGAAAGTTGTTGGGCAATTTTGAAGTAGAATCACTGCTCTGCAAAAGGAATTGTGTAAATTATTACAATATCCCATAGCGCATTACTATTAAATTTACGAACTTTATTGTTGAAATTAATTGTGTTATAATACTATTCTTGAATGTGTTGATTTGTGTTTTTTAATACCACGAATAATTTTATGTTCTCAGGCATCAATGCAGAAAATTCCAGGTCGACAGTATTGAATTTATAATAAAAACAGAGTTATAATTATTTTAAAATGTCTTCCTCATTTTATGTGAGAGTAAAAAGATTAAACTGCTAAGATTTGTAAGTTTTCCCGTTGTCAACAACAGGCCATCGGAAATGAAATTTCATGCATAAACCTGTGAAAGACCTATTTTTATTATTAGCTAAACCATCACTATTTTCTATTTGAACTTAATAAGCAATTCGTGCTGAATCTATTTTAAATTTGTGTTATAAAAGTCGAATAGTATTGAAACTGTTATCGATTTTTTTACATTCATTGTGGACATTTTATCACAACTTGTATTATAGTAATAACAGTTAATAACTATTTTTGTTTGTCCTCTAATTGTTCTACTTTTGGAAAGGGTCTTGACGATGGTAAGTTTATCGTTTAAACTGATAGATTGCCTTTCGTTCTAAAGTCGTTTCCTATGGCAATGTTACGTGTCCTGGAGGCGAAATTGCCAGGGTGATGGCGACGGAGACCGGCCATTCAATTACAAATCGTCCAGACATTTTTTCCGCGACCTTTTTCCACAAGATTTTATTGGGCGGTTTGTTAGGGCTGATTCCGCCTTCTTGAGAGTCGTTTTATTGGTTATTAATACTTGTCAGGAAAGACCCATAAAACTGAGTCGGTTTCCTCGGGGATTTATACGACCAATTGGCCTTTCCTCAATTTTCCCTGTATCCTGCACACGAGCAACGAAATGTTCCGCCCTAAAAAGCCAATTTCTCGGAAAGTGGTATCTGAAACGAAAAAATTTAAATAATGTCGTCCATAATTTGGTAATTTATATATTAAATGTGTGTATAATAATAAAAATATATTGATTGGTATCGAATTTTAAGCAATATTTGAACCAGAACTACGATCAATTTGTAATCCTTAATCAGTACGAAGCTAAATTAAATGGGTTTTTCATTTATAAATTTGAATATATAAATGCTGCAGCAAATTCTTAAACTGCTTATAAACTGCATGAGAAAGATAATTATTTTAAATTAATTAATCTTTATGTACGGTATTGGTTGAAATACAAATCCAGTGTCATGAGCGGATTCGAACCCACGACCTTCGGCTTAATACACTATTGGAGTTGATGGCATCCCTATCCATTTTCTTAAACTCTGCCTCCCAGTATTACTACCTATTCTACTTCACATATATAACTACTCACTCCAAATCTCTGTTTTTTCCGACAGCCTGGCAAAAAGCTCTTGTCCACCCTGTCAATATAACCACCAACCCTTCCTCCCTTACAGACTACCGTCCCATTTCCATCCTCTCAAACCTGTCCAAGCCCCTAGAAAGATTAGTCCAAGCACAAGTCTCTAGGCACGTTGAATAGTCCCATCTTCTACACCCCTTCCAATCTGGCTTCCGCCAAGGTTATTCCACCCAATCAGCACTAACAAAAATTACCAGTGACCTCCACTTAGCAATGGGCCAACGGAAAGTTACTATACTTGTCCGTCTTGATTTTTCTAAAGCCTTCGATTCTGTCCCTCACTCTTCTCTCCTCTCTAAACTCGAATCTTTTTCCTTCTCCCCCAGCACCATCCGTTGGTTCCACTCCTACCTTACCAATCGCCACTAAGCTGTCTCGCTTCCCAATGGTCTTACCACCTCCTTCCTCCCTCTTAAATCTGAGGTGCTCCAAGGCTCTAGCATCTCTCCTATCCTTTTTTCCATTTATATCGATGATCTGCCCGACTCCATTCAGTCCGATTATCACCTATATGCCGATGACTCCCAAATATACATATCCTTCCACTCTTCCGATCTTCACTCGGCCACTCTCAAGATCCAAAAAGACCTAAACTCCATCAACGAATATGCCCATAAAAATTCCCTAGCCCTCAATCCGTCCAAATCCACCGCCATAATTATGGAGTTCAGGCAACTCCTCAATTTCCTCCCCAGCATCCCACCTCTCATGCTAAATAACCATCCGATCCCCATCTGCTCTTCGGTTAAAAACCTATGAGTAGTCTTTGACCAAAACCTTTCCTGGCATTCTCACATTTCCCAAATTTCCCGCTATTCCATTGCCTCGCTCAGCCTGTTTCGTCGGTCCTGGCTTTTCTTACCTTTCTCCACCCGCAAATTCCTTGTATCTTCCCTTATACTTCCCTTCTTCGATTATAGCTGTTTGGCATACGGTGGTCTCTCGGAGGGGGAGAACGCGCGATTGAAGCGTATTATGAATTGTTGTGTAAGATTTGTGTACGGCACCCCACGGGGATCCCGGGTGTCAGGGTTGTATTCCCAACTTTCCTGGCTATTCCCCTCCTTCCGTTCACAGTATTTTCTAGGTTGCTTTCTTTTCCAGTCCATCCACACTCGTCGTCCTCCTTACATCATCCAATCCCTCCAATTCCACTCCTCACATCTCACTCGTAAGACCCGCTCACCCCCAATCGACCTTATCCTTCCGCAACATACAACCCATACCTTCGAAAGATCCTTTCTGATCCGAGCCCCTAAACTCTGGAACTCCCTTTCCCTTTCTATTCGTCACGCTACCTCCTTTTCCTTCTTTAAATCCCACTTGTATAATCACCTCCTCTCTCTCCAAGCAGAGACCTCACGTTAACATTTGTTATTTTTGTTTAATATTCTCATAATTTTTTCTTCTCTCCTTCCTTATTGGTATATATTGTTCCAAAATTTCTATCTTTTTTTGTACTTTTATCTTCATAGAAGGAACTTCCTTTATTTATTTCAAGTAAATTATTCTTAGGGGACACCAGTCCCAGAATAAAGTTATTTTTCTTCTTCTTCTTCTATCGTCACTTCGATCCACTTATTTCAACCAATACCTTACATAAAGATTAATTAATCGAAAGAAGTTATTTGAACAATTGGACTACGAAATCTAATGCATTTAATAAGTAAAATGAAGTATGTCTTCATTAAAGCTCTCCGTAGCCATTTCATTTGTCGTAGAAAATCCAATAGATTACACGACATTTGAAAAATGGCAAAAAGGAGGGAAAATTCGAAAGGTGGGTTGAGATAGGAATTTGGTGTCCGAGTGAATCCAAGTCCCAATAGCTCAAGGGTAGAGCAGCGGCGTATTTAGCCGAAGGCCGTGGGTTCGAATCCCGCTCGTGACACTTGCTTTTACATTTTAACTAATAACTTACCTAAAGATTAATTAATTGAAAGAAGTTATTTGGTCAATCAGACTACGAAATATAATGGATTTAATAAATAAACCCACGTATATTTTCACTAAAGCTCTCCTTTATATTTATAAAATGGCAAAAAGGAGGAAAAATTCGGAAGGTTGTTGGTTGAGATGGGGAGTTGGTGTTTGGTCTGGTAGTTTTCGTGGTCCGCTTGACCAATTAATATCTATCCATTAATTAAGGTTTTTTAGTTGAGATAAAACAAACATTTGTCGCTGAGAATCAAATAGATTACACGACATTTGAGAAATGGCCAAAAGGAGGGAAATTTCGAAAGGTGGGTTTGAGATGGGAACTTATTGTCCGAGTGGATCGAACACACAATAGCTCAAGTGGTAGAGCAGCAGAAGATCGTGAGTTCGAATCCCGCTCGTGACACTGGCTTTTTTATTTCAACCCATACTTTACATAAAGATTAATTAATTGAAAATAATTATCTTTTTCATGCAGTTTATAAGCAGTTTAAACATTTGCTGCAGCATTTATCTATTCGAATTTATAAATGCAAATCTATTTAATTTAGCTTCGTACTGATTAAAGATAACAAATTGATCGTAGTTCTGGTTCAAATTTTAAAGAAGTAATTTGGTCAATTAGACTACGCAATCTAATGATTTGATAATTATTTTTTTAAGATGGTTACAAGTTTACAAATATTAAACTATGTAATTATGATTTTGGAATTATTATACAATTTTTATATTTTCCTCTTAAAAAAGCCTGTAATTAGAACAATTCTAAGTAGAACAGGCAAGGTAAACTTTGCGTAAACATTCCTTGCAAACATTTGCCTAGTCTAGTAAACTAGGCTAAGAACCAAACTTGTTGTAAGAGTTCTCATCCCTGAAATGTTCTAATTATGCTATTCCTGCATCAAAAATACTGAAAAGTAAACTTTTTGCATGTCTTTTAAAGAAATTGAACCGTTTTGTTTCAGGTGGTTTTTGGAGGTGGGAGGCGTCACTGGATGCCCAAAGTGGCCAACGATCCTGAACAAGAGAAAGAAGAAGGAAGAAGGCTAGACGGAAGAAACCTGATCGAAGATTGGCTTAGGGACAAAAAGCGCCGTGGCATTAGAGCCCAGTACGTCTGGAACAAAGAACAAATGGACAAAGTCGATCCGAAAAGCGTTGATCACATCTTAGGTAAAGTATTTGTAAGTTTTAATAAATGAATATAAAATCTAATGGATTTTAAAATCTCCCCTGTTTATAAGCTTCTTAATTTTTCCAAATTATAATTAAATTATCGATCAGACACCTACATAAAGAGGATTTTTACGTATTGTGTCGTATTTTCTTTAAATGTTTCCTGGGTTCCATTTCAGCTGACGTCAAGAAAGACAAACAACTAGATTTACACGTCACTGGCACATTTTCCTCAAATCATAAATAACCTTTTACCGCCGTTTTGGCAGCTATATTTGACGTGATACCTTGTTCGATTGGAAGATTTTAATTTACAACGTGTAATTTACGGTTCATAAATCACCCTCGTAATAAAAACCAGCCATTTAGGAGCTTACCGTTCAACTATTTCATCTGTTTTCACTTTTACAGCTCTTATCAACGGGGGAAATATTAATGGTTGAAGAAAACGGATTTTTTTTATTTACAAGTGTAAAATTTAGGGACGATTGTCCATTTTCCTTGTAGAGTTAATACTGATTTTGTTTTAAAATAAAAAACATTGTTTTCAGTACACGTAATTATTTTTATGAAAACTCTTTCTGGAAACTTACTGAGATATAAAAAATGGCCAGCCGATTCTGTTTTAGAGAGATTTATATTTATATTAAATCGGACTGGCTTTGATCCTCAAAATCGAGTTAATATTTGACTAATTTTAATATTGCTTCACGAGAAGAATTTCAAACATCTTTCAATTTGAAGATAAAATTTAGCTTTAAAATTTCCGATATCTATATTTTTTTATATTGTTTTCTCAATCTACTTGAATCTTCATGCAAAAGAAAAATTATAATAGAGAAAAAAAGAGCAGAAAAAAACAGTACCTCACTGAGGAAGGCTAAATGCAGAAACATGTTCGAGTGTTTCAACAAACCAACAAGGCACAATAAGTGAAGCATGTCTTTTCTAATAAAAAGGCTTAGATCTTACACCGCTTCACCATGAAAAAGAGAAACGTTTCATTTCTTATTTTATACTGATTTTTTTGAAAAAAAAATTAATAGAATACACAACATACAACCAATAGTAATTATAAATTTATTACAATAATAGGAACGTAATGCCAGGAAAAGACTATCAATTTTTTAATTTATTTTCTTTAAAATCTAGAAATTAAAATACACGCAATATTATTATATACAAGCACTCAGAATTGTTTATAACCAATATATAAAACATGTAAGTTTTTAATTAAATAAAACTCTTAATATTTCATAAATTATAAAATAAATTTGCAAGGGTTATCACTACAAATTACATTAATACTATTTATGTTTATTTTAACTTATGTTTACAATTCTGATAAGTATTATGGTTCTAAATTATTTTATCATTTGTTTACAATTTATACAAAAATAAAATAATATATCATGAAAGCATTCCTTTTTAGTTGAACAGTAATTATTAGGGAGCGTCGGTGGCCGCAACGGTTTAGGAATTGACTCGGCGCTCATCACTGTAAGGTAAAGGTCCCGGGTTCGAATCCCGCGGCCCTTCATTCGAACCCGACATACTTACAAATTTTTTTTTTTTGTTCAAAAACACCGGCACCCCGATGGTTGATATAACATCTGCTGTTACTTACCCTCGTAGAAAAAAAAATTATATTCCTTGCCTTTTGATTGCTGTTGCGAATCCTCGTAAAGAAAAAAAACAGTAACTGTTCAAACTTAATGTAATTACAGCACTCTAAGAATATTTGGTTAAAAATGTAGTCATGAAAATAAGGTTCTAAAACAGCAGTATACAGTATTCATAAAAAAAGACAATTCGTAGAAATACAAATGCGTGCCTGCATGTAATGGAAAAAATGATAACATGTCTGTCTACCAAATGATAACGAGAAGAACAAAAACAAACGTATGATCAACTTCAATAAGGAAGACTAGGCTCTTAAGAAATGTAAACGTTCACAAAGTAAATCATACTAATGATTGATTATCTGATGGTCATGACTCATAGGGACGACAATTCAACCAAAATGACAAGACTAGCGTAAGTACCGAAAAAGATTGTAAAATGGAAAAATCCTTTCAGTCAAGTAAAAAAAATGTGTTGCTGCAACTATAGATCTAAAGCCGATGGATATGTACAGCAATATCTAAATTTCGGGATACTTATTGTTATGCCTGTTGCTGTCTGTTTTCCGAATCCAAAAATATGTTGACTTAGTGCGCAAAAACGAATCATCTCTACTTTGCCCCGGAATAAGTGGGCTGCAAGAATGCGGCTGCTAAACTCTTTTGTAGGATTGGAATTCATACAATGAATATCTTAAGAAAGAAGACATGGTGAAAAAAACGGAACAATGAATCACTCACTGGACATAAAATTTTTATTCAAGTTTTGAATGAAAAAATGACAGAATGTGTGGTGATTAGTGACCGTTAGTCGATGATTATTCGGTAAGCGTGAGATGCGGTCTGGTGTGACGTAGGTTTCAGAAATTTCCGAATAATCAAACTACAGAATGCATCAAATCCTTGACCATTCGTTTTAAAAACGTCGAATTAAACTCAACACCACAAACCCTTTTTAAAAAAGATGGTTCCTACTCACATTAAGTCATCCCATCATTTATAATTTCTATTAATTTGCTAGTCAAAGCAGTAATGGATTATAACACTATCAACAACATTACCTCCACTTACTTAAAATCTGCTAATAAACAAAAACTTTTAAATCTTTATTATAAATTGAGACTTTCATTCTCAAAAATTAACAAATCAATCTAGTTAAATTCTCAATGTCTGAAATTAAATCTGACCCCAAAATTCGTTCTTGCTAAACTAAATATTAAGAATTGTTCAACTCTCTTACAACGTAAATGCCAAAATACCATTTTAAATAATGAAGTACATAAATTGTACCGTCAAAGAGATATAAAACGTTTTTATCAATATATTGGACAATTAGGCTTGCGTCATTATTGTCTCCAGTAGAATGGGACGAATTCGATTATGATACGCGATCAAAAATTACATTTATCATTGGTAAAAAACAAAGTATACTAGATAAAAAAATTAAAAACTTAAAATACGGTACACTTAAAAATAAAAATACCCTAAAGACCCAAAAACTCCAGTTAAATTTTAACCAAAGGTTATAAACTTAACAAACATGGTACTAAATAAAGAAGAAAACAATTTATTAAACAACAACAGAACTGGATACAAAAAAACTACTATCCCTTGGTTCATCGGTAGATTGTTGTAACATAAATACAAATATCTTAATGTGAGTAGGAACCATCTTTTTTAAAAAGGATTGAACTCCACTCTCACCCCATCATTTATAATTTCAACACCACAAATTTCCAAAACATAACCTTCACCTATCATCCCACCTATCTCTAATTTATTATAACTTCAGCACCTTTCTACCGACCGTCATGCGCTTCTTTAGATTGTCTAGAGAAGCTACTCAAAAAAATACTGAAAATAACATTGAATATAAAACTATTTGATTTAAAGAAACCAACATCCACAGACCCGACAAACACTAATCCTTAAATCCATTGTGAACCATTCTGTCTTAAAGTTCCAACCGCACCATCCGAAACTACCTAAAAGTTCCTTTCATAACAGATGTTGTAATATCGTGCTACTAAAAATTTTACGCTAATCTCAAATACCACTCTAATCCTCACGTACAAGGACTTCCCACTCAGCAATCCTCCTCGGCGTCTATAACGAAACGAATCAATATTTTAGTATTAGTTGATACGTTCAGCCTCGATTTATGGTATTTTCTATGTCTATGTTATCTACGTCATTTATCGCGCTTTGCACAGATGTTTCTTGATGAAAAAAAGATACTTGACATGGCACTGTCAACACGGTACATACAGATTTTACGTAGAATCCGCAACGCGCCTATAAAGAGTTTGTGATGTCCCACGTATCCGCAGGAAAAAGTGCTTTGGGTCGTACATCGTAACCGGAAAAAAAAAATGTGGCAAGTACACTTTTGGTTCACCAAGTTTTCGGCGATTCATATCGCCATCTTCAGGGCCGTTTTATTGAAAAATACATACATTAATACAGTTCCAGTGAGATTTTGAATAATTACATTGTTTTCATATAAAATGTGTACTTCCTCACAAAGACCTTATGAGAACACGTCAAAAATCTTAATGTGATTATTATTTACTTTCAGATCGATAAAAACTCCAACTTCATCAATCACTACTATTTGATTATAAAAAAAATTTTTTTTCCAAAAACTTATATAAAAAATAAAAAAGTAATGTGTGGTGATTAGTGACCGTTTGTCGGTGATTATTCAGAAATTGTGAGATGTGTCTGGTGTGATGTAGGTTTCCGAAAAATATTTGCTTTATCGTGCTAACGTTTCGATCTTTATTTAGATCATCTCCAGGGCCTGGGATTTACAAACATTGTTTAAATTTAACAAAAACATGTAGGATGTGGAAAAAAGTGTATTTATACAATGCAAATAAATATTTTTTTATATTTAATCAAATTATTTCTACTCACTCAAAGTGTTTGTTTTCTGCGTAATTGTGCCATTCTTGCTTGTCGTGTTGAGAGAGCCAGTGATATATTGCTGTTTTATGTTTATATACGTTGGATTTTGAAGGAGTGGGGAAGGAAATCGGTATAGAAAGACATTTTTTTATAAGGAAACCCCCAAAACACATAAAATAGCAATATCTCACTGGCACTCTCGACACGACACGCAAGAATGGCACAATTACCCAGAAAACAAACACTTTGAGTGAGTAGAAATACTTTGATTGAATATAAAAAATATTTTTTGCATTGTATAAATTCACTTTTTTCCACATCCTACATGTTTTTGTTAAATTTAAGCAATGTTTGTAAATCCCAGGTCCTGAAGATGATCTCAATAAAGATCGTAACGTTAGCACGATAAAGAAAATGTTTTTCTGAAACCTACATCACACCAGACCGCATCTCACGATTTCTGAA